CCCCGCTGGCCCTGGCAGCAGAACGGAAGGCCGAGCGTCCGTTATTGATGCTTGGAAGTGGCTGGGGACAGGGCTGGTTTCCCTTTGCCTCGCAGGGGGTAATCGTGCCAGTGAAATGCTTGTCTGCTGCGATGCTCACACAACTCCACTTCTTCCTAGCTGTTGTCATTGGCTTTTTTTGATTAACCAAATATCAATAAGTGGGTTCATGTTTACTTGAAAGCAAGTCTGCTGTGTGACGAGCTTTGTCTTTAGCAAAGGATAGGCAGCCCTTTTCACTCATCCTCGGGGGACGTATTTTTCTTCAGTCCTTAGCAAACGTTTCTCACAAAAGCGTTCAAGGAACTCCTTCACCAGACTCCCCCTGCCAGGGTTTGTCCTGAATTGATCGCGGCCGTCAGACGCCGCAGGATGGAGGCGTCTGTAATGCTCTTTGTCCCTCAGCTGGGCCTCCAGCACCACACCTCCCAGTGCGAGTGCGGAGGGCCTGGTGGAAGCGTGGTCTTGTAAGGTGTGAGGTTCCTGTTGTCCCTCTTGCGCAAAACTCAAACTCCTGCAGTGCCTGGGGAGCCCCGCGCCACCTTAGGCCAACTTCTTGGAATAGAGTCACGAATACATGAGTTTTGGGAGCCTGGGAGCCGTTTCCGTCAGGTGCACGGGGCGTGGCGCCCGGCTAACGTGGGAAGTCGGGAGAGTGCCGTTGCCCAGAAGCGTGTGGACGTTTGATTTTGGGCAGAGGGGGGTTGTAAAACGCGTGTCTTCAGCACATTTCAGTGCTCACTGGGGTTAGGGCTGGTTTTGTCTCAGAGGGGACGTAGAGCTTCCCTTGCTTTCCAAATGGAAATGTCCCACTCTGCCCGCGCGCGGGGGTGCCCCGTTAGCATTGCTGGGGGGGGTGAGGTGTTTAATTAACAACGAATCAGCTGGGTGAGAAGTACTTGCGCGTCGGCGCGTGTGAAACGCTCTCCGAGAAAGCCAACTAAGCCTGTTGGTTCTTGTGCAGGATCAGCAAGAGCCGGAGCCGCCGGTCAGTCTCGCCAGCTGGGATATCGAGAAAGCAGCAGTCTTCTCCATCAACATCTCGGATCTCAGTAACAAAGATCGCATCCTGGAACTGCTTCCCGCCCTCACAACACTGACAAACCACAACCGATACTTAATTGACTCCGGAAATGAAGACGGCTTCTTCAGAATCAATAAGAAGGACGGGATAAGTTACCTTCATTTCACAAAGAAGAAGCCAGTGCCTGGAAACTATTCATTACAAATCAGTAGTATTCCACTCTATAAAAAGAAGGAACTTAACCAGCTTGAAGAGAAACATGACAAAGACTACCTCAGTGGTGAGCTGGGAGATAACCTGAAAATGAAAATTCAGATATTGCTTCATTAATTCATCAACCAAAGACCAAATAATTAAACCAAAGATAGATAGGTAGGACTGAGTATTCCTCCCAATCAGATTCTCCATATCATAGGTACAATCTCACGTGAGTACAAGCGTATGAACGAGCACTATTCTATTACTACACACACGAGGTACAGGATGAACACCCTAGCTCAAAACAACCACTTCCTCAGGCTTTTAAGCGTAGCTGAGCTACCTTGATATGTTGAATCTCGAAAACTGGGACTTTTTATCCTTGGAAGTTGGCCACTGCTGCTGAGACGCGTCATCCTTTCAGCAGAGGTACAAGAACGTGCTTTCAACTGATGGGACAGCTCTATTTTTGTAATTCTTAAACTTCGCTTCTCCAACTACAACTTACTAGGTCAGCCATTTATGATATCCGTTTGGTGCTAGTAAATTTTCAACCTAGATTTATAAATGCACTGTAATATCTACACAACTTAGAAGCCAAAATTGCCATTATTCAGTCTAAATACTTCAATCAACCAAAGTTAGCTCAGTAGTTTATCTCAGTTATGCCTATAATACATTACATGTAAATTAAGTGTGTGTATACTGTAATCATGCTATTTTTATCAATGAAGCATTTGTAAACTAGATTAATAATACCCTTAACGTGAGGGTTTGTAATGGTGCTTATAAGACCAACTACTCGTTAACTGTATACACAAACCTGATGATAAAGTTTCTGTGACTTGCCAAAATGCACTGAGGTCAGTAGGGACCATCAAACGTTCTCGGAAGTCAGATGACAATCAGTGCCGCCCTACACCACGACATCATGTAACGCGTCAGGAGTACCCAGAGTCATTCATAGCAACGAGGGTTCAATGTCAGAAATGTCACAATAAAACCGTTTCTTTTTTAGTTTATTCTGTGGCCTTGTGTTCTTGCTGGAAGTCTGATAAACCGGACTGGGACGTTTCAGGCAGGGCCGGCTGCGCCCCCGCCGCGCGCAGGCGCGTTCTCCGTGAAGGCGCGCTGCTGCCGTCTGCCCGTTCGTCGTGCCGAGGAGGAGCGGAAGGAGCACAGAAACCTGCACAAAGCTAAAGGGCGGCGGACCGCTGTCAAATCACGGTGCGGCTCCAGGAAGCAAGTTAGGACGTTTCCCTTTACCCCA